GTTCCTGCAATTTTTAAAAATTGTTATGACTAGCCTTTCTTTCATGCTCTATATTATTAGGCTTCAAAGAAAATCTATATTTTTTAAGTTCTTTTTTTATTTTATTGTCTTATTTGTGTACAACCAAAATTATATTTTATGTTATGTTTTGCATTTAAGTTTTTTTTCCCTTTCTTTTTTTGACTCTTTCTTTTTTTGACTTTTTCTATTTGTGTGTTATTTATATCTACCGACTACCAGGACTAATACAATTGGCATTTGACTGGTTTGGGCAGTATTTAATCTAATATTACATGTAAAATCTAGTATACCGATTTTATTCTCAAACTGGTACATACCACTGTACCAGCCACTACGGTATGAGATCAATAGCTTTGGTTAAGATAAGACTCATGAAGAACTGAATTGATTAGTGCCCGTAGACGTAAGAACTAAAAACATAAGAAATGAAAACATTTGGTTAAGCTTTTTGTTTCAAGAGCTATCACATACCATCGATCAGTAAATGACAATAATTATAAGATGTTAGTGTTTGTTAGATAAACTTTTAAAAAAAATTAGATAAAAGAAACTCCATAATTATATTATTTTAATAAAATATTATAAAAAACGAATCTCACTATTACTTTAAATATATTTTATTTGAGTTCTTTTGAATAAAACTTCATTGAAACATATAATTTTAAGTGTGATTCTCATACTTTTTAAGAGGTCTGGTCAATACAATTTCCCTAATCATAATGCTTTCATCAATCATATATTCCTGTAGGAAACTAGTGTCCTCAATTAAAAAAAGAAAAAGAAAAACAAACAGCAAAGTTTGCAAATAATCACAATACGTAACTGTTAGGCAGGATTAATTCTAGCAGCTATCTTGGATTTACCTCAGTAATTGAAACATCATTTACTGAAGTCAGGGCTTGTCCATTATTGGATTGACGAGATTCAAGCGAAGATGACAGGTTTGATGTCTGAATCCTGCTGTACAAGAGAAATGCTGGGTGTGAGGGTTTTGGGAGATTTATATAATTGTTGGTAAGCATCACCACAATCGATCCTATAGTTTGTCTCTGTAGTACATTTTCTTGCACACATAGTCTAAGGACAAGTCCGAGGTGCCAATCCTCGGACTGCTACAGTAATTCCTTTATGACCGAAGTGAGGAATAAATCCAAAGCTTCCCGCTCAAATAGCTACATGACAATGACAATAAGCATGCTCGCACCTGATTCCTTATGATGAGTGGCACAGCAAGTATGGTGGACGCTCGTGCATCTGAATACCTCCCAAATTCCCGGTCCCTGAATAATCGTCTGGATGGACACGTCAGGCTCCGATTATCTTGCTTGGCATGACACGTGGGTTCCTCATTGGATCCTATAAATACCCCCCCGGGCCACGTCAAAAAGGTAATTGAAACCAACCCTAAGCTCTTTTTATCTCCGCCCTACAGGTAGCCCCGATTATTGCTGACTTAAGCATCGGAGTGTCTACCCCGAGTTCCACCTCGGGGCTTTGCAGGTCATCTCGGAGTGTAAGCGCGGATTGAAGAAGGACTTCTGGTTTGGTGCAATTACATTGGCGCCGTCTGTGGGAATCGAACTGAAAGCTTTCTAGTTGCTCTTTCATCATGGTTCATACTCGATCAGTCCGAGCTGGCAATTCATCTCTGCCTCATGGGCAAGGTCAACCCCCCAACAACCTTCCACCTCCGATCCCACCTCAAATCCTACCTCAGCTTCCACCTCAGGTCCCAACCATATTCCCTCCTGTTGATCATGCAGAAGGAGGAGATGAAAACCAACCCCATACATCAGCTCACAATTCAACTTCCATTGCCAACCAAGACGTAGTGACAGCTCAGCTTGCTGCCATGCAACAGCAGTTTGGTGTTTTTCAGTTGGTACTGGCTCAGCTTTTAGCTAGAAATAATCCTGGTGATCCCCTCATTAATTTACTAAACCCTGCTCAACAACCCCCAGCTCCACAACAGAATCCTCAACCGGTTCAACCTGCTCCTGCTATTAGCGAATCTCAGGGTCAATCCCACATAGCACCCGCTCAACAACCCATCCCTGATGATGTTACTCGCCGCCTTGATAGCCTGGAGAAGCTAGTAGCCGAACACCGAGGTGCTCCACCCCCACACCATGCTGCTGACTCTATACCTCACCCTCTGAATACCAACATTACTCTAGAACCCTATCCTGTTGGCTTCAAAATACCACAATTGGAGACTTACGACAGGACGAAGGATCCCGATGATCACCTGCATGCTTTCTACTCTTGCATGCAAGCTCAGAATGCTTCAGACGCGTTAATGTGCAAGATCTTCCCCTCTACTCTGCGAGGTAATGCTCGAACTTGGTATTATAGTCTACCTCCGAGGTCAATTAGTTCTTACACAGAAATGGCATCTGCCTTTGCCACTAAGTTTTCCAGTAGAAGGTTGATTAGGAAAACTACTACCGAATTGATGCGAGTTAAGCAGAGGGAGGGAGAGTCTCTAAAGAACTACATGAGCAGGTTCAATGATGCGGTGTTGGAGGTTAGTTCATTCGATCAAGCTGTGGGCATTGCAGCTGTAATCTCTGGTCTCAAACATGACAGGTTCCGAGATAGTTTGATCAAACATGCTGCCACCACCTTTAGCGAGGTAAACGATAGGTCTCTGAAATTTATAACTGCTGAAGAATACGCCCTAGCGCAAAACCCACCTTCCTCTAAGAATCAGAACCCAGAATGGAGAGATGACAATTTGAGCCGGAAAAGGATGAGAATGGCGCAGAACCGAGGTCCGATGTTGACTTCCCCAACGAGATTCGGAAGGACGAACTCAACACCCCCGCAACAATCTGCAGGTAAACCTCCAGTTAGTTGGACTCCCTTTAATCTACCGACGTCACAAATTTTTATGCAGATCAAGAATAAAATGGATTTAAGGCGTCCTGGCCCAATGAAAACTGCTGCTGCTAGTCGAGACCACACCAGATATTGTGATTTTCACCAAGATCACGGCCATACTACAGAGCAGTGCAACAGCTTAAAGTCCGAGCTGGAAAGTTTAGCTCAGAAGGGAATGCTAAATGAGTATGTTCAGAGAGCTGAACAGCCGAGGTTTATCAAAGAATAGAGGCCGCAACCTCAAGGAGTCCGCAATCCCCCAAATAGGCAAGGTTTGGGATATCAGCAAGCCCCACCTCTGCTCCCACCACCAGCTAGAATCATACATATGATTACGAGAGGCCTTGAAGCAGGTGGACTGAGCTCTAAGCAGCGAAAGCTGTATGTCAGGGAGGTTAAACATCAAAACCGAGCTTAGAAGCGGAAGATTGACGATGCTGAGTGGAAAAATCAGCCCATTACTTTCACGTCTGCTGATCTCGATACAGTTGTTACACCCCACAATGATCCCTTGGTCACTTCTGTAATGATTAATAACTGTGAAGTATAGCGTGTCTTTGTTGACACCGGGAGTGCACCAGACATCATGTACTTCCACTGTTTCGAGAGTCTGGGATTGGATCCAGCATTGTTGCAGAAATATGATGGTCCTATCTATGGTTTCAACAACCAGCCTATTCCGGTAGAAGGAGTTCTTACCCTCCATGTGGCTTTTGGGAGTGGCAGAACTTATGTGACCCCTTCAGTCCGGTTCCTCGTAGTCAAAATGGCGTCCTCTTTCAACATTGTTATTGGCCGACCCACACTGACTGAAATCCGAGCTATGGTTTCCCAGTCTCACCTTTGTATGAAGTTCCCAACTCCTATGGGAATAGCAACACTGCGAGGAAACCAGGAGGTGGCCAGGCATTGTTATATCACCTCGGTAACACAACCTATGAAGGGAAAAGCTCAGACACCCGAGGCCATTCCCCAGCAAATTCCTGATAATCAGCAAGTTATGGGTGTTGAGATCGTAGATAATCGACCAGAAGATGAAACCAGAGCTGCTCCGGTTGAAGATGTTGAAGAAGTGCTCATTGATGACAGAGATCTAAGCCGAAAGACGCAGATCGGAACTAGATTGAACCCAGAGGAAAGGGCAGAGCTAATAGCTTTTCTTCGAGCTAATAATGATGTATTCGCATGGACTTCGGCAGACATGCCAGGAATTCCAAATTCAGTCTCTCAACATAAGCTCAGCACCAACCCATTGAAGAAACCAGTGGCCTAGAAGCGGCGTCTCTTCGGGGGTGAGAGGCTTCAGGCTATTAAAGAAGAGGTAGAGAAGCTCCTACAGGCTGGATTGTCAGGAAAGTTGATTACTGTGAATGGGTGGCTAACCCAGTTCTGGTGAATAAGGCAAATGGCAAATGGCGAATGTGCATTGATTACACAAATCTTAACCACGCCTGCCCTAAGGATTGCTATCCAATGCCGAGCATTGACAAATTAGTTGAAGCGGCTTCAGGCAATGAGAGGTTAAGCCTTTTGGACGCATATTCGGGGTATCACCAGGTGCTAATGGCTCCAGAAGACGAAGAGAAAACCGCGTTCTATGCTGGCGATGAAATTTATTGTTATGTAATGATGCCGTTCGGTTTAAAGAACGCAGGTGCTACTTATAAGAAAATGGTAACCATTGTCTTCCACGCTCAGATTGGTAAAAATCTAGAGGTATATGTCAACGACATTGTGGTAAAGAGCCTAAAGGCAGAAGACCATCTCGCCGACCTCGACGAAACCTTTAACAACCTTAGAAAGAATAAGATGCGGTTAAACCCAGCTAAATGCATCTTCGGGGTGGAGTCCGGAAAATTTCTAGGTTTCATGGTGTCCCGAAGGGGAATTGAGGTCAATCCAGAGAAGATCAGAGTAATTGCCGAGATGGAACCACCGAAATCAGTAAAAGATATACAGAGGTTGACTGGAAGGGTGGCAGCTCTGCATCGGTTCATATCGAAGTCAGCAAATAAATGTCTGCCATTTTTCAAGATTATGAGGTCGGCCGCCCAGAAAGACGAATCAGGAAAACAAAAGAAGTTTGAATGGA